CACATGAGGCAGATATGTCAAACACTTCAAATGACTTCTTCTGAAGAACTGGAAGTTATAGAACCTTAATATTCGGCTGGTTATTTCCTGGGAAAGAGCCCAACAAAGTTTGCGAATGAAAGTGACCTTGACTTACTTTCAAGGTCACAGAGGTCAACAACATTTAATGGATTTGTTCTTAAGAACTAAAAGGAATGGATTCATAAGATTTGGCTGGTAGCTTTTGGAATAGAGCTTACCAATTTGAGAAGGAAAATGACATTGACCTACTTACAAGGTCACAGGGAAAAATATGTCAAGCAACTTCTGAAGAATCAAAAAGCATAGAATCTTGTAATAATATTTTGCTGGTAGTTTCAACAGATGGAGCCAACAAAGTTTGTGAGTGAAATATTTTTAGTGCAATATAATATTTAATGAGAATATTTTGCTATGACTGCTTAAATATTCAGGTGAGCGATACAGGCCCTCTTGGGCCTCTTGTTGTAAAAAAAAAGTTATGTTTGTACACACACTTTGTTATGGATATCATTTTATATCTATATTGTATCTGGATATATTGAAATAAATAAAAACTAAAACAAAAATGTCATGAAAAAATTGGAAGGCTCTGTACGAACTACCTTGTGGATGAGATGAGGCTTAGTCTGATCCTTTGATCAAAAGAAACTTGTGGCTTTGTAACACATAAATTTCCTCCGTTATCTCAAAAGGACAGGAATCAGCCTAGCGATTGGTCAGTTCTTTTTACCTTGGACCAATCAACTAGCAACCCTATGCCTTCAATTTTGCTATGACATATTCCAGGGGTGCAGAGAATGTCAGTGATCGTAACGTCTGGAGCGCGAGGATGCTGGGAGGTCTACTAAAATGTTAATAACCATAAGGCCTCAAAGTCGTTATATTTAGTCAGTAGCTTGGTGAAATGTATTGCCACAATGTTTGCAAATATAGAATAAATGACACCTTGACCCATCCCAAGTCAGATGGGTCAAATTTGTTAACTTTTTCTTGAACACCAAGAGGCCTAAAGCTACAATCCAGAGTCAGTAACTTGCTGAAATATATCGCAAAGTAAGGCCACTTAAAGTAAGGCCACTCAAAGTAAGGCCACTTAAAGTAAGGCCACTCAAAGTAAGGCCACTCAAAGTAAGGCCACTCAAAGCGGTTAAGCATCTTCAAAATCTTTGGGCCTTCCTTATCAGTTCCACTATACATCCCTCTCAATGTATTGCAAAAACTGTCAAACCCCTTTATAATGCCAAAATTTCTGTGGGAAAAATGGTGGCAGTATAATGAGGTTTTACTGTATATTGTATCACTACATATGCACTGGTCACTCTTTGACAGGTGGAGCTTTTGAATTCTATTGTTGGAGGTGAACAAGAGTCAGTGTTCAAGGTCGTGGATCAAATGGAGAAGATCGGCAAATGTTTATTGAATAAATCGAACCTAAGGTAGGTAACTCTACTTACATTACAGCCTGCAAATATACCTTGACAGCAAACACTATCACGGTTTTAGTTTGTCATGTTGCGAACTGTTTGTCGACTTTAAGCAGAATTATTGGTCAGTGAAATCTAGTGATCTGATACTGTTTGTTGGTAAACCTTTGAGAAAACCTTCAGGTTTGTATTAGCTATTACTTTTGAAAATTTTGCAATTGATAGTACAGATCTCTGTTAATTTGTGCGAAAGCATTTTTTCTTTTAGAAATTTGATTTGTCTGAATTCCTGTATGGGAAGTAAATGAGCTTGTCAATATAAATACTTTAAAGAACCTTTTCACAACTGAATCGGTGTGTTAATATTTTCAGCCATAAGGTGATATGCTACCTTAACTCATTCACCCCTGAAATTTCATAATGAACTATGAACCTATGAATTGGAAGAGTTCAAACGTGTCTTTGGGGTGAATGAGTTAATGATATTGTGAAATTGACATTCACCTTCTTTTAAAAGAGTTCAGCACAAAACAATAACAGTTTTGCTTTGTTAACAGTAATTCTAACACTTGACAATCTTTATAAAAAAGAAAACACATTCCTTTAGCATATGTTGTGTGTCTACTAGCTGAAACACTTTGTCTTTTTCTGTAACTCTGAATTTGTTTTCAAAGAAATCAATTTTGTGGATATTTCATTTTCAAACTTTGATCAGGGTTGCTGTGAATACGACTCCTGAATCCATGGGTACAACTTTGAGATCTGTGGAAGGATTTCTGTCTTCGTTACCCGGGGATAACTCTTCCTCCAACTTTCTGACGAAGGTTAGTATTTTTCGGTGAATTCTCGGTCACTATTGTGACATTCTTCCAAAAAAAAACAAAATTACAGTGGCCTCTTATACAAAATGCTTTCTTGTGAACATTTTGCAAAGTCAGAGGTATGGATCTTCCTTTCTATAAATAGAAAAAAATGTATTATATTGTCTTAATTTCTCATTGGTCAATATAACTTAAAAGTCAATTCATGGCTACCCCTCTTGTGCTCACTTTTCAGGTGTAAATCACGTTTGGTAAGGAGTTATATATTTAATAGTGTTTTCAACTAAGAGAACTAGTACTGCAGTCCATCACTTTTGACAAAATCTACTGCAGGTTTAGGACAAATATTGCCTTGTTCTATTGCACTGCATGATGCTATGTAGTCACTAATATGGTCCCTCCCTGCAGGATTAGGACCTGTATTCACGAAATTGTCCTCATACTCAAACTCGAATTCTGTGCTCAAGGCCAGTTTCTTGTTCTGGTGACAAATAGATAAAAAAAAAATGGAATAATTTGGAAAGACTTAAAGCTGAATACCATTTTCAAGAAAGCTGTATACTATTTTCAAGAAAGCTGTATACCATTTTCATTGTTACCTCTCAACTCATTCACCCGTGAAGACACATTTGAACTTGTCCAATTCAGTGGTTGGAATAGATCATTATGAAATTTCAGGGCTGAATGAGTAAAATTTTGGCTGTGTCACATGATTTTACATGTTACGTGAAAGGTGCACAGGATCCGTGTTAGAGCATGAAAAGAATCTTAACGAATATGGGTCCTGGACCTGTATTCATGGAACCGTTCTCATGTTCAGACTCAGCCCAACTCAACTGTGCTCAAGCCCAACTCAACTGTGCTCAAGCCCAACTCAACTGTGCTCAAGCCCAACTCAACTGTGCTCAAGCCCAATTTCTTCTTTGGATGATAAATTTTTCAAATTTCAAATTTTCTCAATAATTTGGTAATTTCGAAAAAAAATCTAGAGCATGCAGCCATATACCATTTAGTTTTTTCCATTGGACTTTTTATTGTATAGATATATGAAGTCAATGCTTGAGAATGATGATGATTTCATGAATATCGGTCGTGGTGTTTCTACTTCGTCTTCCCAGAAGGGGACATTGAAGATCTGCTGCACATGATGAAATACTTTGATGTTTATAACTTGTTTTGGTTTACCGCAGCATGATGCATCATAGAATGTTGAACTGTTTGATTTGCTGTTTTATACATGGTTTCTGTTAAACAGGACACTGAGTACAAAGTGACGGAATCACAGACACAGTTTGAGCGACCATTCTCCGTTAATTACATGGGAAAGTCTTTTCTAACAGTGCCTTATACTCATGAAGATTTCCCAAGGTAGGTTTATAGCTAGAAAAATTATTTGAAGTCATTTTTTATGCCCCCACTATTTTAATTTTTTATGCCCCCACTATTTTAGGGGGGAATAAAGTGCTATATACTTTATACAGGGAGATTTTTCGCATCAGTTTAACTTTCACCTTAATTTTCCTCTGTAGTCTGCTGGATAACCAAACATCTTGGTAGTGAAGCGGACATAAAACCAATTAATCAATCAATCCTCCGTAATGAGGGTGAATTGATCGCAACTATATACAGAAGGGCATGTCAAGGGTAAATAAAATTAACACCAAACTAAAACAGATTCTACCAGTAAAGGACGAAAATTTTACTGCTTCCCATCATACAGTAGGTCTTCTGTCCTGTGGTGTTTTATCCCATCGCGTCACATCCTGACTCGGATCGTTAAATATCACACTAGCCACTTCATTCCTGAACAGATTTTGGTCAAATTAATTACAAAAGTCAAACCTCAGATGAGTTTGTATTTCAGTGTACCAAAGTCGAAGCCAATATAACCATTAACCCTTTCACCACTGTAGACCACAATGGACTCATCCAGATCAATGTATGGTAGAGTCTACTAAAGCTACATAGGGGTGAAAGGGTTAATATTTAAAGGAGTTTGTCAACTGATTCTGTACGAGTGACTTCATTATGTCTCCCATTCAAATGAAGGGAAACATATTGTTTTAAAACTGGTTCTTCTTGTTCTTATTCTTCTCCCCGACATGGATCTGGTTCTTGTTCTTCTTCGTCTTCCTTGTTCTTTTCTTCTTCTTTTCTTCTTCTCTAAATGATAATTTCTTGTATGGCCCATTCTTTTAAACTGTTAAAACTACCTTAAAAAACTTCCAGTATTTATGCATCATTCAAAGACACTTTGCAGTGCACTGTCAGTCCGTCACTGTGACCTTGACCTCAAGGTAGAATATCCCTATCCCACATACCTACATAATAATTGACACTTTTTTTCCCAAATTTATAACTGAAATTCTTGAACAACAGGACACATACATTATACAAATACAACACTTAATGTAACAAAAGTTCTAGTACAACAGGACACATACATTATACAAATACAACACTTAAGGTAACAAAAGTTCTAGTACAAGACACAGACATTAGAAAAATACAACACTTACTGTAACAAAAGTTCTAGCACAACAGGACACAGACATTATACAAATACAACGCTTACTGTAACAAAAGTTCTAGTACAATAGGACACATACATTATACAAATACAACACTTTCTGTAACAAAAGTTCTAGTACAACAGGACACAGCCATTATACAAATACAACACTTACTGTAACAAAAGTTCTAGTCCAACAGGCCACAGACATTATACAAATACAACACTTAATGCAACAAAAGTTCTAGTACAACAGGACACAGCCATTATACAAATACAACACTTACTGTAACAAAAGGTCTAGTACAACAGGACACAGACATTATGCAAATACAACACTTACTGTAACAAAAGTTCTAGCACAACAGGACACAGACATTATACAAATACAAAACTTAATGTAACAAAAGTTCTAGTACAACAGGACAAAGACATTATACAAATACAACACTTACTGTAACAAAAGTTCTTGTACAACAGGACACAGACATTATACAAATACAACGCTTACTGTAACAAAAGTTCTAGTACAATAGGACACATACATTATACAAATACAACACTTTCTGTAACAAAAGTTCTAGTACAACAGGACTCAGACATTATACAAATACAACACTTAATGTAACAAAAGTTCTAGTACAAGACACAGACATTAGAAAAATACAACACTTACTGTAACAAAAGTTCTAGCACAACAGGACACAGACATTATACAAATGCAACACTTACTGTAACAAAAGTTCTAGTACAACAGGAAACAGACATTATACAAATACAACACTTAATGTAACAAAAGCTCTAGTACAACAGGACACATACATTATACATATACAACACTTAATGTAACAAAAGTTCTAGTACAAGACACAGACATTAGAAAAATACAACACTTACTGTAACAAAAGTTCTAGTACAATAGGACACATACATTATACAAATACAACACTTTCTGTAACAAAAGTTCTAGTACAACAGGAAACAGACATTATACAAATACAACACTTACTGTAACAAAAGTTCTAGACAACAAGTAAGGACATATTTGGAAAGAGTGGACAAATATATGGTATACCTCAAATTTAATGATTCATGCAAGACCCTTAGGAAAATCTTGTGCAACAGTTCTTTTATTTTGACATGGTGTCACTTTCCGATGGCAACTTTGCCACAGTCTGTCAAACACGTTTTGCATTGTGACATCATAATGAAACACTGTTACCTGATTGTGATGTTGCAGACCTTTAATCCTAAATGGTTGTCAACACAATTATTATCAATTTTATAAATTTAATTGTTTCAGATTACGAGTTCTTGCCAAATTGATGTGGGCAAAGTTTTTACACAGAGAAATCAGGTAAGTTAACAAATTCAGATACGAACAGGTGCAAAGTATAACATGCGCTGCAGCATTCAAGAAGACCAAGCAAAAATCAACAAGGGAAGTTATTTAACATTACAGTCCCATTTCTGTCATATTTTCCTGGAAATTATCTTTGAAAAACTGTGTTGAAGAATACAAATATTTTAAGCTATGTTCAATTTTTGCAAAATTACTTTTTGCATATCTGAAATTAGATAAAGTAGAAAAATAGGTATGAAACTAAAATTTATTGCAACAAAAAATGCAACAACTTTACAATTACTTTGAATAATGTCTTTAGTAAATACCATGGAATAATACTCTTGGTGGCTCATTTCTGGGTGCATGCCTTTCCTCATTCAGTCTGACTGGAGAAAAACTAGTCTTGATCTTTGTGATGTCCATTTGAAATGATTATGTACAAAACTAACAAAACCAGTAACTGAAAGCTGCATCCACTAAAAACCAACCAATTCAAAAATCCAACCACTATAAACTCTTAATCCCATTTAAACTACTGTAACGGGTGGTAACGGACTACAATCACATTGAATGTAGTACAGCCACTGTTAATAGATCTGATGTTGATGTTTTTATGTATTTTCTTCCATCTGGCACTACTAATTCTGCTGTCTGTCATTCACCAGGGAGAAAGGCGGGGCCTACGGTAGTGGAGCGGTCTGCTCCGATGGTGTCTTCTCTCTCTTCTCATACAGGTAAGAAATTTAGAGTCAATATAAAGAATAGATACCATAGCGCATCAATAAATTCCTTGGGAAAACGCTCGAGTGATATCTACTATTTGAACTCAGTATACTGGTAAAACTCGCATCGTAACAGTGGCAGCTAGTGTTCATTTATTAAGCAAATTAACTATGGGCTGGCCTTGATAAAATCATCATTGCCCCTGACTCAGATTTTATATTTTACAATGATTTGACATTTTACTTCTTGCCATGTCCTTGACCTTTGGACTATGGATCAGAGCCAAGTTCAAGTTTCAAAATTAGGAAAATAAAAATTTGAAAAAATCAGGCAATTTATATTTAATAAACTGCATTCCAGGGATCCTAACTCTCTGAAAACCCTCGAAGTGTTTGACGAAGCTGTCAAGTGGCTTTGCAGGGGAGACTACACTCACGGCGACGTGGATGAGGCAAAGCTATCAGTTTTCCAAGAGGTAATTAATGGTATTAAGTAAAATAACAAACATTTGGTCGGATGTTTGAAACTTTAAATAAAATTGGTTCATACAATTTGTTGTGCTCAAGCTCAACTATGAGAAACAAAAATCTAATTTCCATGGTGCACTCATGTAAAAATGTTTTGTAACTCTTACTATAGTGATATAGCCAGTTTTCAAGTCATGCAATACAAGGTCCTGTATCATACTGTGATAATACAAGATGTTGTATTAACCCATGGCCAGTAGCCAGAATTCCATTGTGGCTTGAATTAATAATATTTTCCCCAATGATTGAATTGACAAATTGAAACAAGATTGGGTTCCGAACATCTGGGTGCTATTTTAGGCTGTAGCAATGTGACGTCATCATACTGTCCTTGACATCCTATTGTCTACCACAGTGGTTGGTTCATGTTTACAGGAAGTAAATGGAAATTTGAATCAGGATAATGATGAGTAATGTTTAACAGAAATTATAAAATACATATAAAGGACGATTGTAGGTGTGCAATATAAACAATAACACATATGTTCATCTGACATCTCTGATTGCACCCGTTTATTGCCCTTATGAAATATATCTACAGGTGCAGTGCAGTTGTGAAACTTGTGAGATGTCAGATGAACATATACATGTGTGGTATAACCAATTTACTATCTGCACTGAGATGTAATTGATCTCACCATTAACGTCCCTTGTAATGATACTGTCCCTATACCTGTGATGTAATCGATCACACCATTAGTGTCCTTTGTAATGATACTGTCCCTATACCTATGATGTAATAGATCACACCGTTAGTGTCCTGTGTAATGATACTGTCCCTATTCCTGTGATGTAATAGATCACACCGTTACTGTCCTGTGTAATGATACTGTCCCTATACTTGTGATGTAATAGATCACACCGTTACTGTCCTGTGTAATGATACTGTCCATATACCTGTGATGTAATAGATCACACTGTTAGTGTCTTGTGTAATGATACTGTCCCTATACCTTTGATGTAATTGATCACACCGTTAGTGTCCTGTGTAAAGAGACTGTCCCTATACCTGTGATGTAATCGATCACACCGTTAGTGTCCTGGGTAATGATACTGTCCCTATACCTGTGATATAATTGATCACACCGTTAGTGTCCTGTGTACTGATACTGTCCCTATACCTGTGATGTAATAGTTCACACCGTTAGTGTCCTGTGTAATTATACTGTCCCTATACCTGTGATGTAATAGAGCACACCGTTAGTGTCCTGTGTAATGAGACTGTCCCTATACCGGTGATGTAATAGATCCCACCGTTAGTGTCCTGTGTAATGATTCTGTCCCTATCCCTGTGATGTAATTGATCACACCGTTAGTGTCCCTTGTAATGATCCTGTCCCTATACCTGTGATGTAATCGATCACACCGTTACTGTCCTGTGTAATGATACTGTCCCTACACCTGTGATGTAATCGATCACACCGCTAGTGTCCTGTGTAATGATACTGTCCCTATTCCTGTGATGTAATCGATCACACCGTTAGCGTCCTGTGTAATGATTCTGTCCCTATACCTGTGATGTAATTGGTCACACCATTAGTGTCCCTTGTAATGATACTGTCCTTATTCCTGTGATGTAATTGATCGCACCATTAGTGTCCCTTGTAATGATACTGTCCCTATTCCTGTGATGTAATAGATCACACCGTTCCTGTCCTGTGTAATGATACTGTCCCTATACCGGTGATGTAATAGATCACCCCGTTAGTGTCCTGTGTAATGATACTGTCCCTACACCTGTGATGTAATCGATCACACCGTTAGTGTCCTGTGTAACGATACTGTCCCTATACCTGTGATGTAATAGAGCACACCGTTAGTGTCCTGTGTAATGAGACTGTCCCTATACCGGTGATGTAATAGATCCCACCGTTAGTGTCCTGTGTAATGATACTGTCCCTATACCGGTGATGTAATAGATCACACCGTTAGTGTTCCTTGTAATGATACTGTCCCTATACCTGTGATGTTATTGATCACACCATTAGTGTCCCTTGTAATGATACTGTCCCTATGCCTGTGATGTAATAGATCACACCGTTAGTGTCCCGTGTAGTGATACTGTCCCTATACCTGTGATGAAATTGATCTCACTGTTAGCGTCCTGTGTAATGATACTGTCCCTATACCGGTGATGTAATAGATCCCACCGTTAGTGTCCTGTGCAATGATACTGTCCCTATACCTGTGATGTAATCAATCACACCGTTAGTGTCCTGTGTAACGATACTGTCCCTATACCTGTGATGTAATCAATCACACCGTTAGTGTCCTGTGTAATGAGACTGTCCCTATACCGGTGATGTAATAGATCCCACCGTTAGTGTCCTGTGCAATGATACTGTCCCTATACCTGTGATGTAATAGATCACACCGTTAGGGTCCTGTGTAATGATACTGTCCCTATTCCTGTGATGTAATAGATCACACCGTTAGTGTTCCCTGTAATGATACTGTCCCTATACCTGGGATGTAATCGATCACACCGTTAGTGTCCTGTGCAATGATACTGTCCCTATACCTGTGATGAAATTGATCTCACTGTTAGCGTCCTGTGTAATGATACTGTCCCTATTCCTGTGATGTAATCGATCTCACCGTTAGTGTCCTGTGTAATGATATTGACCCTATACATGTGATGTAATTGATCCTGTGTAATGATACTGTCCCTATACCGGTGATGTAATAGATCACACCGATAGTGTCCTGTGTAATGATATTGACCCTATACATGTGATGTAATTGATCCTGTGTAATGATACTGTCCCTATGCCTGTGATGTAATAGATCACACCGTTACTGTCCTGTGTAATGATACTGTCCATATACCTGTGATGTAATAGATCACACCGTTAGGGTCCTGTGTAATGATACTGTCCCTATGCCTGTGATGCAATAGATCACACCGTTAGTGTCCTGTGGAATGATACTGTCCCTATACCGTTGATGTAATAGATCACACCGTTAGTGTCCTGTGGAATGATACTGTCCCTATACCGTTGATGTAATAGATCACACCGTTAGTGTCCTGTGGAATGATACTGTCCCTATACCGTTGATGTAATAGATCACACCGTTAGTGTCCTGCGTAATGATACTGTTCCTATACCTGTGATGTAATAGATCACTCCGTTAGTGTCCTGTGTAATGATACTGTCCCCATACCGGTGATGTAATAGATCACACCGTTAGTTTCATGTGTAATGATATTGACCCTATACCTTTGATGTAATCGATCACACCGTTAGTGTCCTCTGTAATGATACTGTCCCTATACCTGGGATGTAATCGATCACACCGTTAGTGTCCTGTGTAACGATACTGTCCCTATACCTGTGATGTAAATACCTGTGATGTAATTGATCACACCGTTAGGGTCTTGTGTAATGATACTGTCCCTATACCGGTGAGGTAATAGATCACACCGTTAGTGTTCCCTGTAATGATACTGTCCCTATACCTGTAATGTAATTGATCACACCATTAGTGTCCCTTGTAACGATACTGTCCCTATACCTGTGATGTGATCGATCACACCATTAGTGTCCCTTGTAATGATACTGTCCCTATACTTGTGATGTTATTGATCACACAGTTAGTATCTCGTGTAATGGTCCCTATACCTGATAACTGCTGTAAAATTTTAAAAAAATCATATTCAGTAAATTAAAATGTGAAAATATCCATTTCACATACGAATAATTATTTACAGATTATATATATAATAGATGTCTACTGTATACTGGGTAATTTTCGCTGCAGTTTAATTTGTGCCTTTTTCGCCCTCCGTGTTGAGGGCAAATTCATCATTACAGTACATATGAATAAACAACACAACAACATGATATACATAGTAATGAAGTGTGAAGGGCAAAATTGACCCTGGGCGTATATTGATTTCGTGCATGAAGGATGAAGGTTTGACTGGCCGAAAATTACCTGGTATAGGGTAGATTATTCAAATTTCAGAAGCATTTCATAAAAGAGTCGCAACATCAACGTTCTCAAATGCAAAAATTTCCACTTTTATATTAGTTTGGGACATCACAGGTTTCCATAACAACATCCTTAGTATTCAAAGCTGACTTGGTTAGAGTGAGGACGTGTAATTCAGTCTCATGTGTTGTTTTTTTAACAGACAGACACACCTGTTACTCCAGGAAAAATAGGGATGACACGGTTTACCGGTGGAGTAACAGACGAGATGAAACAAACGATGCGAGACCAGTTATTCCAGGTGTCCAAAAATGATGTTACTACCGTCGCTCTCAGGTACATAGAAAGATATCTTTAAAACAGGACATTACAGGAGATTTTCTCTTTAGGAACCAAACACAGAAAAATATCATTTTTAGCTCACCTGGCCAGTAGCATGCTGGGATGAAGGGCTACCGAGTTTGTTCAAGGGAATAATCTTCATCCATTTTCAAGGTCACAGGGGTCAATTGTCTTAAAAAATCTTTAAACAACTTCTTCTCAATAACTAAGAGGCCTAGGATAATGATATTTGGCTAGTAACATGCTAGGATGAATGACCTTTACTTATATTCAAGGTCACAGGGGTCAAATATGTCAAAAACCTATTAAACAACTTCTTCTCAATAACCGAAAACCTTAGGATGATGCTATTTTGCCAGTAGCATGCAGCGATGAAGGGCTATCAAGTTTGTTCAAATGAATTACCTTTACCTATATTCAAGGTCACAGGGGTTAAATATGTTAAAAGTTTTATACAACTTCTTCTTAATAACCAAAATGCCCAGGATGATGATATTTGACCAGTATCCTGTTGTGGTGAAGGGCTATCAAGTTTGTTCAAATGAACGACCTTCACTTATATTCAAACTCAAAAGGGTCAATTGTTTAAAAAAAAAAAAAAAAAAAAAAAAAAAATTTTTTTTGAAAAACCAAAAGGCCCAGGATGATGATATTTTGCCAGTAGCATGCCAGAATATAGGGCTACTAAGTTTGTTCAAATGAATGACCTTGAATTATTTTCAAGGTCAAAAGGATCAAATATGTTCAAAACCTTAAAACAACTTCTTTTGAATAACCAAAAGTCGCAGGATGATGATGTTTGGCCTGTAACATGATGGGATGAAGGGCTACCAAGTTTGTTCAAATGAATGACCTTGAACTATATTCAAAGTCACAGGTGTCAAATATGTTAAAATCTTTAAACAACTTCTTCTGCATAACCATAAGGCCTAGAATGTTGATATCTGTCAGTAGCATGCTTCGATGAAGGGCTATCAAGCTTTTTCATTTGAATGACCTTAACCCACTTTCAAAGTCACATTTACTCAAATATGTTTAAACATTTAAATGACCTTATATCAATAAACAAAAGGATAGGTAGGTGATGTTTTGCAAGTTGCATCCTGAGATAAAGGGCTATAAGATTTGTTCAACATAATGACCTTGTTCGACTTTCAAGGTCACAGGAGTGAAATGTTTTTAAATCTTTCAACAGGTTCTTTTGTATTACTTTTAATCATAAATACTGATATTTTGCCTTTAGCTTTATTTAAGATCACTTTTAAGGTTATAAATGTGAGATGTATACCAGGTGAGCGATGCAGGCCCATTGGGCCTCTTGTTTTTAATATTGGGAGATTGCATGTCACATTTGATTTGCTAATTCAAAGTCTGTTTTAAGCATCAGATTTTACATGTCACAGTTGATTCACTACTCAAGAGCCTGTTCAAGGTATCAGTGTTCGACATTCAAGGTCACAGGCGTCATATGTTTAAATCTTTTATTAGGTTCTTATGAATCAAACACTGATATTCTGTCTGTAGCTGTATTTTAGTTCACTTTTAAGATTACAAGTGTGAGATTAATGCCCGGTGAGCGATGCAGGCCTGTTGGGCCTATTGTATCATGAGAATTTAACTGAAGTATGTATTTGATTACAAAAAAAACCCCAAAAAAATCCAACATTTTTCAGTCTTCTTTGCTGCTATAATTAGCATTTGATCATTCAAATTGCAGGTATTTGAAGAAAGGTCAAAGGTCAAATGCAGTATCCTTCCTGGGCCCAGCCAATGAAAGTGTACAAGAGGATAAGAAATGGAAAATCATCAAGAATTGAAAAAGATAATTATTCACTCACGCCTTTTTGGATCAAACAATAGCATTTAAAAATAAATGTTAGCTAAAAGAAATCTGTGTGTCAGATTTCCTGGATGTCAATATTTCATACAACAATAAATTATGAAGGGAGATGATTTGATTGTTCATCCCCATGCACTGTTGTCATTAGTGATGGGCTGATGATCGATTATGATAAAAAAAATAGATTGGTTTGCAGTTTCTGATACTGATTATCAATTACAAATTCAATAATCGATGTAATTGCTTCATTACTGAACTCAAGTGGCAAATGTAAACAATGAAGTATTGCACCGAAAGGCAATTATTTTTATGATTTCTATTACACGTATATGATTAATGGTAATGTAGAAAACAAATCAAAACTACATGAAAGTTGCTTGTTATCCATTCTTTATAAAGGATAGAAAACTGATATATAATAGATAACTCTGTCTATTGATGTAAAAATAGTGTTCTCACTTTATTCGGGTATTCTGTCCAATAAAATTATAAACCGATTATGCAATTGATCAATGATTGGTTTACTAATTCAGATAACAAACCAAATATTGATTATGATTTGAGACTGATTGCCTATCACTAGTTGTCGTGTATGATCAAATGTTATTGTCTTTTACGTTGTTTCTTTAGAATAATCACTGCATCTAAAAACAATTGCTATTATTCATAAAATAAAATAAAAATCCCATTATGGAATTTTGCATATGTTAGTTGTGAATGACAAGTTTGAATGTATAGTTACATCAGATTTCATAGCTCATGTATCAATGAGTGTGGCTGTTTCAGCGTTATAGTACATTTCTCTTTATATCATGTGCTAATTAGCAGAGTAAAATGTGATATATAAAGATGTGATTTTAACAGTAACATTAATAGTTTAATTGCTTGTACATGTATGTAACACTTTCAAGAAAAGTAGTTTAATTTACCGCATGTACATTTTTGTCTTAACATATCAAAGCTTGGTTGGTGAAAATACGTTTAAGAGATGAAACCGTGATTGGTCTGTTTTAACTCTGTGTGAGCAAGCACAGGTGTAGGTGTCCGTTTAAATTTTCATGGAGAATCATGTTTTAAGTCTGAAAAGGTAGCTTTACATAACTTCGGTAATGTCAGGCAATTGGCAACAAAACATGATATAAAGAGGTCTTAGAATTTCATTTTGCCATATTTGCAGTAATTAGTGCTCCTCCTATAAGCGCCCATTCCCTTTTTTGGGGAGGAATTGAAATAATATAGAACCCTTCCCAGACCTGACCTTAGTGATAGATAGTACTTTAAAGGAGAGATTTATGTGTGGTGATCATAGCTGAATTTTCTGTGAAGCATGAAGCAGATGAAAAATTTCATTCTCAAATCTCCAGCTACATTAGTGTCCTTAAGTAATAACAACTGGTTGAAGTTGCAAAATATATTTTTCAGTAACTGTTCAGTATCCTAATAAACACCCACTTGAAGCCAACGTTTCAGCGCCCTGGGCACTAATTAGGCAAATACGGTATATTGCTTGATATTGAACAAATCATCGCACATGCTGTAATATAATGAGTAAAATAGAAAAAAATGGTATTTATGGAAAACAGGTTATTATGTGAAATGTGTTATGAAACATTTTGCCATTAATTGAAGTTTAAGTAATAAATACTAGAACATGGTTTATGAAACAACTTTTGTACAAAGCTCCTCAACTTTATATTTTTTGTGAGTTGGAGTTTAGTCACAACACAGTCTGATACTTTTCGATTTTCTCACTCATGATATCCAGTTTGTTACGACCAAAACAAGATAGCATTGGTTTAGAGTTCCTGTCCAGCCATGCAGCATCCTTTTATGTCCAACTGATCAATGTAACTCAGCTCCTGCCCCCATTCGCAGGCAGGGGGAGCTGTAGCAAGTATATATAGGGGTCGTTTCACAGCCCAGCTGCTTCCTGGCACCCTGTAAACCTGTAAACTCATCATGAACTAGAATCGACCTTCGGCACAGCTCTATTCCGCTGTGGGCTCCTCCAGAATTATGACATATGTCACAGGTGCTTTCACAAAGTTCATACAGCCCTGTAGTATATAGACTGTCCATATTATTTGCCATATACGGACAGTTCAAAAATGGACAATATCAAAATTCTAGGTTAGGTTATGTGCAGTGTGTGTGTGAGTACTCTTATGTTGCCAAACATTGTTGTGTGAATAAATGCTATGAATCTAGACTCCTTTGTTTGTCGTTGTTTCAAAGCCTTGTGTTTTGGCAGCTTAAGAATCTTCCCCTTCGGGTTGAGATTCCCTTATCTTAACCTTCGAGTTGAGATTCCCCTATCTCAGTGATTCTTTTTCTCTTACCCTGTTCTCCCATTGTGGCACCCATGGGCATGACGTCATAATGTGAAGACAACGATGACTTTTTAAACTGTTTTGCTGAATTCTATTTTACACTTGGAGGACCAGTATGTTATTTATGCTTCTTATGGTCTTATGCATATACTGATGCAATCTTTCCATTGGTGTAAATAAAATCTTAAAACCAGTTTAGTATTAACCCTTCCACCCCTAGGTAACTTTAATAGACTCTTCCATACATTTCAATGGATATACATATTTCCAGTGTGTGTTATAGGGTAATGGCAACAACTGCATGCTTCACCCGTTGTCAGTATAATGTGACTGGGTGGAATGCTGTGCTGGGTGCCTTTAGCATGGTATTTCAGTGAGATAGCACTATAGAGTCGACATCAGATCGGCGCTTCACAAGGCGGCAAATACACCAACATGTCCTGCCTCCAGCACACGTACACACAGGCACACATACACACATACACACAGGCACACATACACACAGGCACACACACACAACATGCATGGAGGCATGACTTTAGCTGTTAATAGGACATTAAATTAAATAAAACCAAACCACTGTGTGTTAATTCATTAATGCGCTTATCTATTAAAATTGGATTACATTTCTTAACATTTTTAAACATATGTTTACAGTAAAACAAGCTATGAAATTAAGTATGTATCCTGTATGTTATGTTCTCTTATCCCTGTCCTTACTCGTAAAATTGGTATGTGTCCAGTATACTGTACAGGGTTGCCCACCTCTAAATGTTGGAGATCTCCCTCCACTGGGTTTTCTCCAATGTGTGAGACTTTTGACGATGTCGCAACATAATATATATAGGTACCATGTCTTCTTATCCCTAACTGTTGACATTGGTATGTATCCAATTTACATAAAAGCGTGATGTTTACTTATCCTATTCAGTACTTGTAAAATATTGTTTTTAAAACCACATTCAGTGTGCTAGTTTGGAGACCAATAGTACTAGTGGATCCAGCTATTTTGAAGTGGAGTTTAAAGAGTTGGGCTGACTCGGTAGAGTACCACCCCCCACTTCAATCCCATATGGAAATGAGTATATGTGTGATATATGTATCTATATTTAGATGGGTATGTGTGTGATATATGTATCTATATTTAGATGGGTATGTGTGTGATATATGTATCTATATTTAGAAGGGTATGTGTGTGACATATGTATCTATATCTGTGGCTATTGCAGTTGAATATTGATGAGTTTGTGTGAATATTAGAGATGATAATGATATTTAATGCCATATGTATACGTCCAGTCTTGCTTTAATAAAAGATGCTACTTTTAAATGAAATGTGTTTTTGCAATGAACTGGTAAGGGTCTCTCAATCTGTCAATCAGCCTGTCGGAGGCAATTTCTTTGACTTTTTCCAACGACTAATTGCTTTCAAATCTACACAGTTTTGTCATCAGTTGATGGTATTTAACTGATACTGATTTGGAGTTACTGCTCTTTTTAGTTTAGTTAAAACATTTCTTTTGCATTAATACAACAAAGGGATTAGGCGCAAGTTATCACAACTTGATTATGCCGTTTCCTGATTGAATTATAAAACAATGCATGAAAAAGCAATAGTCTAGCTGTATAACCGATATACTCGGTAGTGAAGTAGACGTAAAACCACTCAAACAAACAAACAATAAAATGCACAAATATATGTATCATGTATTTTGACTTTATTCATATATGATATCTGCATTGCTTAATTATTGAATTATCTCCCTTAGATCCAAAATTGAAAAAAAAAATAAAAAAAAAAGTACTTTATAAGAACTAATATACCTTAATTTTAAATGAGTTATGTCAAGGAGACTTTGATATTTTCGAAAACTTTCAGGCCAAGTAATCTTTTCCAAGATACAAATTTCCTGAACAAAGTCACATGATTTCACAGTCATTTGGTACATAAGGGTGTATGGTGACGGCTTAATGGTAATAATCAGTAGCAAACCAACTTTTTTCAATGTAATTTTATTTTTTCCGAATATTTAAAGGCTTATAATGCCTTGTTTGACATGCGGTCATGAAGGAACCACACACCAGTGTTTTAACACTATTGTTGTGACAGCTATCCGATTATCTGTGTTTACTAAGGCACACTTACCTCACTATCATGTAACATGCCTATATAAAACTTGGTTGAATCTGGAGAGAGAATGATTTAAAAAAGAAAACTGTTTAAAATACCCATCGTCTATATAGAGAGTCTGCACTTGATTGTTGAATTATCCTTTTCCATACTTGAAATATTGTTTTTGAGCTTATGCGGTACTGAGGCATCCGTCGTCCGTCGTCCATCGGTCAACATTTTCTTTTAAACGACTTCTTCTGAAGAACTGGAGGACCTAGGGTCATGATATTTGGCCAGTAGGTACCAAGGATGGAGTGCTGTAAAGTTTCTTCATTAAAATGACCTAGACCTACTTTAAAGGTCACAGGGGTCAAATATGTTAAAAACTTCATACAACAATATCCTAAGAACCATTTGGACTAGAGTCATAATACTTGGGTATGTTATGTAGACCAGCAGTGCAAATCTTTTTCTTATTCACAGTAATGAGATCAAATGTCAACTTTAAGTGCTAGCCGGAGTCAAAGGTCAACATGGTTTAAAAGCTTTAAAATTACAATTTCAAACAACAATATCTTAAGCATTTAAGAGATGTCAAAATGTCTTTTGTTCTAGTTACCAAATTTGGTCTGAAGTTACCTATATGTCAGTTTCATGTATCAAAAGAAACAGGTGAGCGATACAGGCCCTCTGGGACTGTTGTTTAAAACTACATAAAGTGTGAGAGATTTGGAGACCAATATTAGATCCAGTGGTTTTGAAGTGAAAAAGACCTGTTTAAAATACCTATATACTTTGTAGTAGTAGTATAGTTGACACTTGATTGTAATGATCCTTGTAACTTCCCTTGAACCAGTGTAGATGGATGCCAGTCATGTCGCTGATCTCTCCTGTGTGTTGTTACCCCTTTACACTGTTTTGTAGACATGATCAATCGATTTGTTCAATGACACACCCAAAACCCAGGCAATATAATGGAACACAGTAGTACTAGATGACCAATGCTCTTCAATCTGTAGTGGAGGACTCTATAAAAATATAAACTATATTTATTTTACAACAGTTATGAAACAAGTCTTTACAACCTATATTGATCACTGTTTTTGGCCTGGGTTTTTTTGTTAGCACACAGGAAACCGGTGTACCCAGAGAAAACGCATGGGTCAGGCAGGTGACCCCATACCTTTTCACATCCGATCGGGGAGTACTCTGCTGCTGAAAGTTTTGGTGACGTCATTCCACATGGGACTTCAATTTGTGTGACGTCCAAATTGACCAGTAAAATGTACTAAATTGTTCATAGCCCTAAAAAATGATATATAGTAGTGCATGTGAAAATATAACCTTATTTAGCATAAATGATTAAACTAAAGTGTTCCACTGAATTAGTTATAATTGCAAAAAAAGAGTTCTAATTCAGAAGTTTTTTTTGACTTGCTTCCTTGTATATAAAAGTGAGCAACAAAAGTACTTTTTATACGCCCGTCAAATTTGACGGAAGTATTATGGTATGGAGTTGTCCGTCTGTCCTTCCGTCCGGCGTAAACTTTTGTTTGTCCGGCAATCTCCTACACTTTTTCAACTGATCTCTTTGAAACTTGGTATACATTGTAATCATAATATGAAGTTGTGTCTCTCTTAAAAGAATTTTGATTCAACATTTTTTCCAAAAGTTATTGCCCTTTGTTCATTTCAGTATTTGATTTTTTGTCCGGAGATCTTCTCCTACATTTTTTGACGGATTTCTTTGAAACTTAGTAGGCTAAATAATCATGATATGACGTTGTGTTTCCTTGAAAAGAATTTTGATTCAACAATATTTGCAAAAGTTATTGCCCTTTCTTTATTTCAGTATTTGATTTTTTGTCCGGAGATCTCCTCCTACGTTTTTTGACGGATTTCTTTGAACCTTAGTAGGCTAAATAATCATGATATGAAGTTGTGTCTCCCTTAAAAGAATTTTGATTCAACAATATTTGCAGAAGTTATTGCCCTTTGTTCATTTCATTATTTGATTTTTTTATCCGGAGATTTTCTCCTACATTTTTATAGCATGTCAGCTAACCACTCTTTGAATGATGCAGATTTTATTTCAATGTAAGAATGTATGTAACACTATATGGCATTCGACAGGCATATATTGTTCCGCCCCACGGTACTCTTGTTTCTGGTGTAGAGTTACATCCCTTGTTGAGGTATTCATTTAATTTTTGAATAAAATTGTTAGTATAGGATAGACAGTTTATAAGGCCCTAGTTTTGTTCCTGAAGTTAGCTCATCTACCAAAATGGCAAGTGAGTTATGTTTGTACTGATTATGAACGTTTGAAATCCCAGGTATCTACAGCAGGAGATTCCTCCTCTTCATCATCGCTGTTGCAGTGAAGTTTTTGTAGATACCTAGAGATGGATTGGCATATAAGCTCCAACCATTTGTTTGCAAGTGAAGTTTCAGGATGGACACCATCGTATAACTTAGTGTAATCATACTTTGTGAGTTTTTTGCGATTTTGACCATGTTTTCCTCGATGTTTGATTGATACCCTTATTATGTCATTGTCAAATTTGAGGGTCGAAAGATTGTGTGCTGTGTTGTGTTCAGTGATGATTGTGTTGATGGAATTTTATGTCAGTTCCAAGATTGACTTGCTGTGCCCGAGTCAATATTGGTGTTAAATGTGGTTGAATAAGGCGTCCTTTGTGCATTTGAAAGTGATATTAAGCCTGTCGCATGCTGGGGAAAAAGGGTTGTCAAGTGTGTTGTTAT